AAGAAGTGGAACTGGTGGGTCTAGAGGGGAAAGAGAAGAAAGAAGGTGAAGGGGAAAAGGTGAAAGAGCAAAAGGAAGATGAGGAAGAAAAGGAGTCTAATGAGGCAGAAGTGGAGAGTATGCAGGGGGAGATGGGAGAGCTAAAGGAGGATAGAAAACAGCTGCAGAAAGAAGAGTTACCAGAGAAGGAAAAAGAGGCCAAGGTGGAGATGTTACAGAGGGAAGAAGAACTGGAGGGTGTACAGGAAAAAGAGAAGAAAGATGAAGAAGGAAAAACAGTGCAGTCTTCTTATTATGAGGCAAAGATCCCGAGCACCATGAACACACAGAATGGCTCAGGATCATCTTTCACTGAAACAGTCGCACAGGTTGAAAGCCACCAAGATGTGGAAGGAAGAAATGGGGAGGATGGAGAGAAAAAACAAGTCAAGGCAGAGGAGCTAAAGTTTGAAGAGACTGACCGAGCAGAGGTTGAAGAAGTGCATCAAGAGGAGAATGAGGTGGATGACAGCTTTAAATGTTCAAATGAGCTTTGCCCTCAAGTGGATGAAGAAAAAGCTGGAAGTGGTTTAGAGGAAGGAGGTGAAGGAGTAATACAGACAGAGAAGCTAAAGGATCAAGCAAACACACCAGGAGAGAGGCAGATGATAGACTCGGATGAAGAAACAGCAAATAACACTTCAGAGGAGGCAGAAAGCACTCATGCATTAGGCCAGGGAGATAAAACGGAGTCTGGAGACACTGAAAGTAGCAGCAAAGAAACACAACAGTTAAACTCCGATCAACAGACGCACACAGAGAAGGCTGCTGTTGTAGTGGAGGATAAAGACACTGATATAAAAATGAGGGAAAATGTTAGTAATGGTAGTGAATCCTGGCATGAGAGAGGAAGGGAGCCTTCAGCCCCACATAGTGACCCTGCTAAAAGTCAGTCTGTGACATCTGAGCAAACTGCCCAAAGTTTGACTGATGATGCGTCTCCACATCCACCTACTGATCAGAGTGGGGAGACAGAGACAGAGAGTAAAACCAGTGGAGCTTTTGGTCTTTTAAAAAACCCCTTTGGTGTTTTCAGCCAGAAATCTACCACCGAATCTGACGGGTCCACCGAACCAGCCCAGAGCTTCAGTACTAGTCCAGGTGAGGCGTTGCACTCGCAAGACTCTTTAACTCCTGAACAAGAACCAGATTCCACCACTCACCACCTTGAAGTTGTGCACAAAGACTCTCCCACTATCACAGAGCAGCCACAGCTTCATCCTTCCTCTGCTGAGATGACAAGAACTCTCTCCAAACATTACAAAAACCTGCTCGCTCACATGGGTGCAGATGAGACAGCTATTTCGCTAGAACTTTTTGGGCGACACAAGCTTCAGTTTTTGGATTACATTTTGTCCAATTCAGACACCATGTTGTACAAACCTGATGAGGAGGATGAATCTATATTGTCAGATGTAGAGAGACTTCTGTATCATCACAAGGAGACGCTGATTGCTCCTAGCCTGACACTCACTGATGCACTGCAGGAGGACAAAGAAAAGACCCGAATGCTTATGGCGCTTCAAAAACTGGAAATACTGTTGGGAAGAGTGAGACAGACTTTCAACACAAGACAGACCAACGACCGTAATCATCAAGGTAGTTTTTGTCAACATTGCCTCCTACTGGCTTCCTCATGGCCAGTACTAATGAGATTTAATTCAGTCTTTTAAATTCAGGCATGGTTTTGAATTGCATCTGTACATGTGTTTCCCTGTCAAATGCAGCCGAGGCCAGCTGTGTTGGCGTCTCTTGTTCAAATCATAGAAAAAATAAGAAAGCAAACACTGAGGAAGAGTCGAAGACGACACAAGATCCATCCATCCAGAGAGATGACTGGATGATGATGAAAGAAGGCAATAACCAAGTGGGTGGTGGTGTAGGAAAAGATGAGATAAGAGGGAAAAAACAGGGCAGAAGTGTTGAAGAAGCATCCCTTCCTCATGTTCAGCCAGGATCACCAGAGATGCTGAAAGGTATGGATAACCCAGGTATCCATTAATCAAGAAGAGTTTAAAATATTATTAAAAATCTTAAGCAAAAGCTACTCGACCTACCTCGTCATCGTCCTCACTTCACATAACCCCAAAAACCGGATGGCCAAAACAAATATTTTTTTTCATTTTTTACAGTAATGTGTCACATTAAAAGATAAATATTTTTTGAGCATCATAAAAGAGATGTATGTTAAACAGCAGTATGTGTGTTACTTTAACTGCAGGAGTTATGAAGCAAATTCTGGACTTCGTTTATCAGATGGCTGAAGACTCCTACGCCCACACTTGTGCAGTGAGGGAGCTCCTCATATGGCTTACTGTGCAGGTACGCTGTGCCAGTTTCTGAGGATTTATAATCTGCAGAAACAGAAACCAATTTTTTGTCATTTGATTTCCAAATATACCTTTTTGCTTTAATCTACAGAGATTAGTGTTGTGTATGTTGAGAGGGATTCTTCAGTTCATGCCAGAGATTAATCTACAATGGTGATGAAGGGGGGCTGAGGTCAAAGCAGGGTGCAGGGTGCATGCTGCCTAGCCAGAAATTTTTTTTTCTGATCTAGTTTTAACATACTTTGTCCAATAGCTTTTGATTTGTGGCTAATTGTGGCCTTGATCATGTTGTACAGGGAAAAGCAAAATGTATCATAGCATGGGCTGCTATGATACATTCTATGAAGGTGAGATGTTATTGTAACATCTTATCTTCATTCTATGAATGTTTTGCGAGTTACAAGTCCTAAAACTTTACAGCCACTCAAAGTGTCACAATCTAATTCAAAATCTTGTTTTGTTTAGTATGCTGTTTTCTTGTAATGAAATTTAAGAGCTTAAATATAATAGGTTTATCAGTTTCTATAGCAAAAAAACATTAGTGCTTTGCATATTTCATGTGTTTTCTGATCATTCGCTGGGGCAACTTTCAAGCCTCAAAATAGGTTATAGCATAACCTACATTTTGATACCAGGATCATCTTCTAGCCATGATTCCTGAGATGTCAAAATAATTCTCTAATATAGTCATTTCACTTGACCCGCCTCTGTGTTTGCATGCCTGTATTAAAGGTGTTAAAGTTATAGTACAAAAAAATATATATGGGAGGCACTAAAAATCACCCTCTGCTCTGTCAGTGTGGCATTTTGTGGTGCCTGGTTCTTTAAGATATTACTCTGGTGACATGCTGAGCTGACTCTCCCTCTGGCATTTAGCTTTGCTTACGTCTCAGCTGTCAAGCTGGCTAGGTTCCTTAAACATTACTCACATTTGGGTCTGTGACACTCTGGACTCACACACCTGTGAAGACAAACTGTCTCTCATGTTTTGAAAGGCGAAAGTGGTTTCAGATGGAGGCCAGACTGGTGAGTATAAGAAATACTGGATGGCTGTCAGACTGTTTTAATTCACATGGAAAAGACAGAAAAATATAGTAATTGTTTGAGAAATGTCATATATCTCGTATGAACAGCTTTCCTAGTTATCTCATTGATTCAGTAAAATAGAGCATTTTTATTTTGTTCTGTTAATGCTTTACGACTCCATACTTTCCTACGTGGGTCTTAATTGTTTCTCTTTCTTTTTCATATGGGAAGTCTTTACCTTCACCTGTCTCCTAATTTGTCATTGGCCTAAGGCCGAGCACGCGACACGTTGACAAATACCCGTTCGATGCAAATGTGTTACTTTTTCTTTGAATGAAAATGATCAAAATAATGATAATACAGGTGTCATTTTGGTAACACCTGTTTCCCCTGGTGTCACTTTGAAAGGGCTCCGATATGCCAGTGTGGCATCTTACAATTGGTGACGTTGCGACTGAACCATTTTCACCAGCGGGGGTGTGCAATCATCCGGGTGAACTTGTGAGGACACGAAACAGCGTGCACGTGATGCATTATACTATACATGCTATGTTTATATTATTTTATATTTTCAGATTTTATTTGATGTTTGGAGTGTTTACAATGGTTGCACAGCTGTACAGTAGTTTTCGTACTACTCCCTACGACGTCCAGCAGGACGTGGTATAGTCCTAAGCGTCAGTGTTGTGGATAGGATGTGAAACCGCCGCTGACCCGCTTCACAGCTCTAGTTTCTTAACGGTGTAAATATAAAAAATTTTAAGTTTAAATATACGTCAGATGAAATAATTTGGACATGGCAGAGAATCCGGCGAGTGACCAGTCGGGCATCAAAGCGGCCGACTTCCAGGAGACGGCAGAGGCTTACTACAGTATCGCCGTGGAGAAAGTGAAGGATGTACGTTATGTGGCAGGTTTCGTTAGCAATTCCCAATTAGCCGAGATAATGTAACGGGCTTCCATGTAACAGTCATGTTTTTGTATTTTTCGGTACTAGCTACAGCTCTTGGTGTTGTCCATCTCATTCCGAAGTAAGAGTATGACCTGTTGTCAGGATTATTCTTCGTGTTTTCAAAGATGTTTAATTGCTCAAACAGTTAGCTGGTAATAGTTAGCTGGCTAGTTGTCAGTAACAGCGCTGTCTTGTCAGGTGTTCGGATTTAAGTTAAAAATGACAGATATTTTTCCACATTTGTCTGTAGTAGAATGATAT